GATTTAATTTTTTATTCATGTAAATCATTTATATCAATTTTTAAATTGATTAAATATATATAACTAGTTCATTGATTATAGAAAATTTGTCATTATTAAATATATATTAAAAAATATAAATTTTTTAGTTAAATAATTATAGATGTTAGATTGATTTTAAAAATTAATCATGCATGATCTATATAAAAAAATATTAAATCTAACTATTAATTTTTGATAATATTCATTAAAAAATGATGTTTTTAAAATTAAAATTTTAATTTTCTTATGAGAATCAAAACTAATATGCAAATACTATATAAATTACTAATATTCTTTATAAACATAATATAATTTTATATGACTAGATTAATTAGTGCAAATACTATATAAATTACTAATCTTTCCGATGACCAAGCAATATTTGGCTACTAATTTATTAATTTTTTATATTCCTAGATAAACCAAAATAAATAAAAACATTATTAATTCTTATTATTTTTCTTTTGGATCTGTGTAAATATTATAAGTATATTTTTATTTGATACAACCTATGTTATTTTATTCAAAAACTCAATTCCAACACTTTTTTCCTAAAACAAGTGTCAACTACTCAAACATTTAATTGAGTGATCAACTTAACTAGAAGTATTAAGTATAAAGGTTATATCCCCGATTCAGTCCCTCAACTTTCATTTTTGGACTAAAACTACCCTCGAACTTCAAAAAGTACTAAAAAAACCCTTAAACTTCAATTTTTGGGACCAATTTTATCCTTCCGTCAATTAATTGCTGACGTGGCAAAATTTTCGGTTAACAAATTCAATTTTTATTAATATTAAATATTACCTGAAAATAAAATGAGTGATGTGGCATTTTTAATTATAAAAATATTGTGATTTGGCACAAAAATATAATTTAATAAATAAAAATTTCTTTTCTTTCTTTTTTTTCTTTCCTTTCCTTTTTTTTTTCTCTCCTTCTCTTTCCTTTTCTCCTTCCCCTCCCCTACTGGGTTCCTCGAACCCAGGCGCGGGTCGAGGAACCCAGGCCCGGGTTCGATGGAACCCAAGACCCCTGGGTTCCAAACCCAGCGCCTGGGTTTGAGTCGAACCCACCTAGGTTTTTTTGTTCTGTTTCTTTGTTGGCTTGCAGTCATGCTTGAATGGGATTTAGAGTTTTGTGTTGCTTCTAATTGCTTGAATTTCCAGATCTAGTTACTGTCGATGTTGATTGAAGGAATGTTGTGTTTTTCCATTTTTCTTTACAGATCTGGTTTACATTTGTAGAGGAATTGATTTTTTGAATCAGATCTATTGGTCATTATTATTGTGCGAGAAACCAAATTTGAGTTCTATTAGAGAGGAGGTTTGGGGAAGAAGTAGATGGTGATTGGAGTGGTAATAGATGATCGGAGCAATGAAGGATGACCGGAGTAATGAGGGATGATCGATGCTGATTGGGTTGCAAGATGAGGAGACATCTGAGGATAGAGAGAGACGAGTGGTGATGGAAGATGAAGATGGGGGTATTTAAGAAATTTTAAATTTTTTAATATATAAATTAATTAAAATGACGTGGACTGAGTTATTTTCCACGTAATTAAAGATTTCAAACAAAAATTGTTTTCGTGGCAACTTAACGTGCCATCTGGCACTTCCGTCGACGGAAGGACGAAATTGGTCCCAAAAATTGAAGTTTAAGGATTTTTTTAGTACTTTTTGAAGTTCGAGGGAAGTTTTAGTTCAAAAATGAAAGTTGAGGGACTGAATCAGGGATTTAACCAAATATAAAATATAAAAATTACTTGAACAATAAATAAATTAAAATTGAATTCAACTAAAAAATTGAATATTCATGGTTTGGATCCAATCAGAACCCTAGAAAGAAATTACTTAGTTCACAATTAAATTTATAGAAATCAATTGTAATGAAAATCTCATTCTAAATAAAGTAAAGAAAGGACTCAAAATTGATCAACTAACAGGCAACCACATTTTTTTTTTTTTTTTAAATTTAGTGATCAAGGTGTCTTCAAGTTAGTTTATATGTACCTCAAGACTAATCCTTTCCTAATCCACTCAAAAACAGGCTATATATGCTAGAACTAAAAAATTTACAAGAAAGTATATTCTTATTTGCATCCCTAAAGGATTGAATCTCGGCTAATAAGGTAAGAAATAAATCTCTTTACTAATTAGGGCACAGCTTACTGGGTAGCCACCCTCTTTGTTGCTAGAACTCATTTCCTCCTTCCCCAAAATGCCGCCGCCCCACTTTTCCTTTTTTTTTTTATTTTTTATTTTTTATTTTTCAACTTCCTCTCCCCTTCAAGACGTTCTAGGTCCCTTACTTCTTGCCAAATTTACATGTCTCATATAATATCTTCTGATTTCTTTCATTTCATTGCATAGATTTGGTAGGATTTGAAAAGATTTGGGTGAAGACATTTTGAAGAGGAGTTCGTCAAAATTCCCTTCTTGTTGTAGACTTCCCGAAAAGGATCCAAAATCCCTAATTTAAGTGCTCCAATGGTCAAAACGGTGTGCTTTAGTAGAATAGCCTTTTTCTTCACTTAAGTCCCTCATCTTTTGTCCATATCACAATTTAATCCTCAATACTTTAGTTTCTTCAGTTCAGTCCCTTTTTAACCTTCGTTTTTCAGTCTTTTGCAATTTGGTCGTTGCCTACACCAAAATGATTAAAAGTATGTAAAATCAAATAAAATAAGATTCAAAGAACTCAAAGAACTAAAAGTTAAGATTAAAAGGCATGTAAAAGATGTATAAAATTTAAACTTATCAATTCTATATCAAACAAGTATGGGAGATGATTTGGGAGATGATTTGATTTGTAATTGTTTTGTCTTTATGGTTGACAAAAAACGATGCAGTCTTCCAAGAATAACCTGCAAGTGCGGATAAGTCTTTTGAATTAATACAAGTTAGATCTTACATGTGCCATTTTGGTTAGAGGGATAATGCAATTGAAAGAATTCTCATTATCAAATTGGTGTTGCCAACCTAGGACTTGTTTGAAATGTTTAAAGTTGAGTAGTTGGGTGGGTTGATAGGCATGACTATTTGAAAGAATAATTATTAATGTTTGTATTTAGGAAATGTATGTAATGTGTCCAAGGCTATGGGGCATTACTAGCAGAAGTAAATTTTATCTAGATATGTTGCCTTATTGAGTTGATGTAAGGTTAGAGTATATGTTGTACTCTTTTTTCCTAAAAAATCCTTAGCTAACCCTTTTCCTGTGAGTCTGGGTTTAAGGTGTATTACTCTCTTTGTTCAAAAATGAGAAAATAGGATTTCTTTCACAACCCTCTCCTTTCTATTGGTCAACCTCCAAGTAGGATGGTTGGAAAAGGACATATGTCTGTGAATTATTCTATGCCTTAGATGATGTTGCATAACAGAGGGTGGTGTTCTACAAGATGAGTTACTATTGCCTTAAACAACTTCATAGGCTTTAAAACCATAAAGATGTATAAAAAGGCACTAATCCTAAACTAAACACAATATCCTAAATAAATTATCTAAAAACAACACAAACTTAGAGACCATATGGAATTCTAGAAATTAACCAAATTTACTTTCAAATTAAGAAGAGGATAATTAATCTATTTGAGTATGAAAACCAAGAAATTACCTACTTAACAATCTAATTGCAAATTTATCTAAGATTTGGAAAATTAGCAAACTAATTCCTAATTCTAAATCAAGATAAAACTGTCTGAAAATGATGAATTTCAACATGAACAAAGGCATTGAGGAAGCAACATTCAATCCAATCAAGTAAACACTCAAAGGAGTAGAATCCACTGAAAATTACTAACCAAATAAATAGGGCAGACCTAAATAACAAGGTTGGTTCTCTTTTGAAATCCCAAACATTAACAATAAGATACAATCTTTGAAGGAAATCTCAAATAAAATAGAAGATTCAAAGTAAATCTAAGAACAAGAGCAAGTCTTTAAACTTTAATATGGAACTCTATGTTGAAGGTTGGTTGATCTAATTTAAAATTGAAATTATAGTGTGCTTAGTGTTTTTCGAGAAGGGCAAGCCTGAAGAATTGAATTTTCCTCCACTGTTCTCTTTTACCTCGATGCTAGAGCAGTTTCCCATGATTTTCAATCCACTTCTCTCCACTTTCTTTGCGTGTTTGGCTATTTCCATGTGCTAGTAGCAACAGTCTCTTATTTTTTGCTCCAAGTTTGCCAGCTATATTTGACCTTTTAACTAACTCTACTTAACCTTAATTTGATCCCTTCCTAAAATCTCTCCTAGTCATCACCTAATTCAAATAAAATTTGATAAAGAAAGAGATATGAATCATCTTGCCACGTGGGACCCCACCTCCAATTTGGATTACAGATTGCAATAGAATAGGCTCCTAATTGGGTGGTGCTATTGGGATAACCTTTTTATCCCACCTATTTGTACAACTTTCACATGTTATTAAATGAGTGGATGTATTCAATATCACGGGTCCACATGAATTAAAAGAACCAATCATGTTATTGACACGTCAGGTTATACAAAAAAGTGGAACAAAATAGTTGTCCCAATAGCATTTCCCCTCCTAATTAGCTACAACTCAATGATGTGGCATCTATTTAGATCAATCACAAACCCCAACTTCACACATGACAAACCTTCTTTGGATTTTTGCTTAAAAAGGTTTGTCCCAATCTAAACTTCTCTTG